TTGTCCTGCTATTTACCCATACCTGGGAGGAGATTAAGATGTTTTATTCTTTTCTCAAGAGTATTAGTACGCAAGTGAATGCAATGTATCCGACTGGAATTCGAACTCGGCTCGCCGTTTTATGCTAGAGTTATTTCAGAATAAAAAAAAACATACGTTTGATTTACGCTAAAATCTGGATAACTGATAATTGTAATTGATCATGCGAGACAAACTGGCTAATCATTACACCACAACGAAATGTCATACATACATACATACATACATACATACATACATACATACATACATACATACATACTGACCTCAACCCCATAGAAAACTTATGGACCATTATAAAGTACAGGCTCTCGAGAAAGCAGTTGAGCATGGGGTTGAGGTCAGGAGATTGGGGCGCCCATGTCATAACACTCACCTGCTTCTCATCAAAGTATTTCTTCATCAATTTCTGATTTGTGACAGGGAGCATTGTCCTGCATAAAAATGAGCTTGGTGGGGTCGATTTGCACCCTTTCAGAGGAAGGGAGCAGACAAGACTCTAAAATTCTCTTGTACTGCTCGCTCCTGAGGGTCTTTTCAATAGGTTTTAAGAAACCAGTTCCATGAAAAGAAAAGCATCCCCAGAAACTGAACGGATGCTTGACAGTGCCTGCTAAATTCAAAGAGCTTTCAAAGCTTCTTCGGATTTTAGATCGCTTATCCTTTGAATTTAGCTCAACTTTCGTTTCATCGGAGAAGAGAACATTTAGTAAAAAAAATCAGTTATCGAACAGCACTGTATATATATATATATATATATATATATATATATATATATATTATATTAAATATTTTTTAAAATATTTTACATTGCGACACGGACATTTCTGTTTCGAGACTTAAATTTTTTTATCTCGTCATCAGGCAATGTTTGGTAACTTTTTGATGAAAATGATTCACATTTGAACATAGAAAACGATATTAATGCTAGAGAGAGAGGGGATCCAGATTTTAAAATCTTATGGGTGTGTCTCTTTTTAACTAATCAAAAGAAAGGTCCAAGCTAAATCTGAAAAGTTCAAAATATAGGTTAGATGTTGTAGGGTGTATTCATACATGTCTCGGATAACTGTCATATTACGAGTTGACGAGATACTTTCGGTTAAGAGTATCCATTTAAGTTACGAAGAAATATTCTGAGAGATAAGTATATTCTTATACAATAAGTTAATATTTGTTTTTTTAAAAAATATTTTTTGGAAATTCTTTAAAAATCTCTTAAAGGGGCCTCTGTTATGTTTAAATCATTTTTTATATAATTTTGAACTTAAAATACAAGTCTTATTTTATTGACTTAATACATGGCAAATTTAAAAGTAAAAAATCAAGGAATTAACTCAATATTACGTGTACCATTATATATACAGTGTAACCCGGATATAAGAGGGTTGTCGGAACCGGAGAAGTCTCTTATATCCGGATTTCTCTTATATCCGAGTTTCTCTTATATCCGAGTTTTCTCTTATATCCAGGGTTTGAAAATCTCTCTTATTTTATCTATACATTAAAATAATGGATAATAATTGTAAAAATTCATTCACTATATTTTAACGCAAACATTTTACGATGTCTACATATGACGGCAAGTTCATTTCGCTGATTTAATAGATCAATATTCTTAGGAAATTTAATTATATGTAGCTTTTCATGTAGACTCAGTAGGCATGAGTCATTTAAGGACTTACAAATTCTCATTTTTTTTTAATATTTTCTATTTTACTGTGGGGGGTTTATTGTTTTCTTTTAAATACCAAAACTATTTAGATATTTTATTAAATTCAACTATGTAAAACAACATTATAACATGACACAAACTTGGTACTTACAGTCAGTGACGTTTTTACATTACAAGATTACTACCATCTATGAATAACTTTGGTTTCCATAGTGTGAATTGGTTGTAAGATGTGTTGCGCTCATCTGTTCTCTCGACTGGATTAGTGCGTAATTATGGTAAGGGTTTTAATCCATTTTGGTTATCCCTACTTTGTGTGTCGATCTCTAATATCTATAGTTTTTTTTTTTTTTTTTTTTAAGCGTTTTTAAGCGAGAAGCCACTAGGACGCAAGGGGTTACAGAAAATTTTAAGCAAGACCAGATAGGAGTGATAGAGGAAAGGATGAGGAGAAGGGTAGTGGATAGATCAAGGCAACTGGAGATGTCGATTGACATTATATTTGAATAGCTGGAGATTATAGCTCTCAGAGAAACTGAAATAGGGAAGGGAGTTCCACAGGCGAGAGGTGCGAGACATGAAGCTATTGGAGTAGAAGAGACGGCTACATTTAATAGTTTCGACAGTGAAAGGGTGAGAGCGGGATGCCAGCCTCGTAGGTCGCTTGAATTTATGAAGTCTGGGAACCAGCGAATGCAGCTCCTCGGAGCAATTGCCATGAAAGTATTTGTAAAACAGACAGAGAGAGGCGACTGTGCGCGTCTGTGAGAAAGTGACTGTAGATGA